TGTTTGCTTTAGTAAAGTTTTTCCAAAAATAAGCTCGTCTGAAACTTGAGTGATGTTTTTTCCTCCTTCTTTTATTTTGCAGCATCTTTTCACTGTTTCCATTTCAGTTCTATCTCTGCTCAGTCAAGTAGAAAGAGGACACATTGTACATAAGACGGATATTTTCTCGTAAACAGGATGGGTGGATCCTTTTTGATTTTCCCTCATCTGTTTTAGCCCTTCCTTGCTTTGCTTTTAGAAGTCCTGTCTCAGATCCTAGGCTAGAAGGCTAGCTATTTTTCTAGTTCTTTCCTGTGGCTCCCTGAGGAGGGAAGGTGGGGACATTAGATGGGCTGTCTCTTAGGGAACACTGTGTTCGATGCTCCTGCCATGTCCAGAACTCTGTTTGTCTCCCATTCTCCCTCTCTTGAGCACTACAGAAATTCATAGGCCTGTCCTGCCTCCTGCCTTGTACCACAGCCCACAAGCCATGGAGAAGCCTCACTGTCTGACTGTTCTCCATTCTCCATCATAACACCTCTGCAAACCCACATTGAGTTGCTGTCAAGCTATAGATGGGGTTCCTAGAACAGCGTTTCTTCTCTGTACCATCACCTACCTGTGCCCTCAGCCCTCCTCCCTCTAACCAAGACAGGTTCTGTCAGGGTTTCCCACTGTTCTTATAATTTCCCTCGCTTTGATCTAACTCTATTCGTCCTAGAGAAAGCCTCCAAAGGTCGAGGAAGGTGGCTGACAACTTTCTTGAGTTCTCAATGCCAGCTCAGAATTGTCAGAATTTTAATGTTCCTTTGGTTACATTAGTGGAGATAGAATGGGGTCTTTTAGAGGCCTGAACTCAAGATATCATCTTCCATCGAAGATTTTAACATATATTTATTGTTTTCTGGGGCATTGTGCCAGACAGTTTCACTTATGTGGTGTCGTTTAATCCACCAAATACCCTCTCAAGATATTTTATCATCATTTCTGTTTTACTGGCAAGTAAACTGAGGTTGTAAGAGCATGCTAATTTGTTTACGTTTGTACAGCTAATTAGAAATGAATCCACTGAGAAGTAGAACCCAGTTTTTCTAACAAAGCGTGCTGCTTTTCTACCATCCTGCCTTGTCTCCAGCTAATTATCATGCTTGGGAAAGGCATGCAGGAGCACAAGTCCAGCCTTTGCTGTCACATGGTTTTGTCACTTTCTTGCTGTGTGACCTTGGGCCAGTTACTCAGTTTCTGCTTCAGTAAAATGGGAATAATAATCTATTTCTTTTTAGTTTTTGATGACAGAGTACATGTCAGGGGTTTCCAACTCAAATGCTTTTAGGAACATGGCAGGTGGCAGAAAAATATGAGGTGGCCTCATGTAAGACTGTAAAGATTGATGGGGACTGCGAAACTTGACGAGGGCTTCTTCTTCTGAAGACATCAAATTCTGTTTGTGCAAAGTCACTGGACTGACTATGTGCCCCCCACAAGAACTAAAATGAAAATGAAAAAAGAATCAAAAATACGAAGTGTTGTCAAAGATATGGTGCAACTGAAATTTTCACAGACAGCTGGTGGGAATGCAAAATGTGTAACCACCTTTTGGAAAACAGACCCATTCTTTGACCCAGCATTTCCACCCTTGAGTGGACACTCAAACCAGATGAGCACAGCTGCCCACCAAAAGTTATTTTCAAGAATGTTCATAGCAGTGCTCTGCATAATAGCCCCAAACTGGAAACTACTAACAATATTACAATGGATCGACACCTTGTGGAACATTAACACAATGGAATAATTATGAGTGAAGAGAATGAAGACACAACAACTACACGCAGCAACATGGACATGGCTGACGAACATAAGGTTGAGTCACAGCAGCCAGGTATGGAAGGGTGCATATTGTATGGAAGGGTGCATATTGTATGATTCTAAATGTTAATGAGTAGAAAAAGGAATTCACGCCAAAGGAGCCAGGATCAGAGTTAATGACTGGAAAGGAGTTTGAGAGGCACTTCTGGGGTGCTTTGGCTGTACTGGTTCCTGGTTTTCTTAATGATGTTCAGTTCGTGAAAATCACTGAACTCTACACTAATGATCGTGTACTTCTTTCTATGTACGTTATACTGG